CTGCAATCATACTGATAGGAACAAACCACATGAGCGCAAACAAAACATGAATCCCCTTCAACACATAAAAACAAATACAACAGTGATGGATGCCCTTACAACCAGTGGAAAATAACTTAAATGTTCATTTCAGCAAAAGGAAGTAAACACTAAAAAGCCATGATGCGCAGGCAACTGCGCGGCGAAAACACGTCTTCTCGCGTCTCTCTCCCACTTTCCCGCCTCCTTCTCCGCCTCGGTGGGCTGATGCAAGGGGTGCAGCGCCACCTCGTCGTGCAGCCAGCTGCACAGCGCCTCGCTCCGAGTTCCGAGCGAATGCGAAAGAGTAGCTCTCTCCGCGAGCGAGCCTCCTTTGGACAGAGAGAGACGGGGAGGTATATATATATGTATTTATGACTATGGGTCAAAATTTATCCACCAGCAGACCGCAGGTTTAGTCCTTATTTTCATTTACCAGGGTTCCATTTTGGGCACACATTTTTGACCCACAGCCAATACAAGTATAGAGACATAGAGATGTAGGCAGGTATATATTGTTGAAGAATCGAGAGAGAGAGAGAGAGAGACATAGATAGACATACGTAGACACAGATAGACAAACAAAGTTGATATTAAACAAGTAGATACATCAGCTCTAGCTCAGGTTTCCGTGTTTTATCAGCGCTCTTTCTGCAGCCACAAACATGGGAGGGATCACAATCCCAGTCGCGTGGGAAGCTAAACATAATTCGCGGAGTTTCTTCTTTCGACTGGGTGGCTGTTGACCCGCGAAGAAAGACAAAAAAACAACGTACACCAAAGAGCGGCTAAGTTTTCTGGGGTTGAAGAATCGACTGTGGACCCAAACGAAACATAGGAACAGCTGTCAGGGTTGGGCCGGATCTCCCGGGATCTCCCAAAAACCATTTCGGCCAGCTTCTTCTGGTATTGAATCAATTTGGCAACTGACCCTGACAGGGGTGACCGGAAATCACCCCTTCACAAATTGTATTGGTGGTTTGCATTGAACCGATCGCCCAAAATTGCATCCATTCGACCCCTCGAGTCTCCGTTCAGGTTTTTCCTTTGGCGCCTGCCCGCTTCTGAGTTTTAACTGTTTTGTCCTTTTTAACTGTTTTGTCTCCTTTCTTCGGTCCCCTGCAGCCAAACGTTTTAAAGGTCGTTCCTTTGTTTAACGGTTTTTCCTTTGGCGCCGGCCAAAAACTCCCCGCCTTTCTCTCTGTCCGTTAACCCCACGGCCTGCTGGTCTTCAAACATGGTGAGGTCCTCGACCGGCTTCTTCGCCTGCAAGGGACGAACAAAACGTGAGACCGGGGGTTCTGGGGTGCTGAACAAAAAACAACACATTTCGTCCTGGGATACTGAAAAACAAAGAACAAGCGAGTCAATGTTATAGGAGTACACCATTATAGTGGACTTGTTTCGCCTCTGATATTCTCTCGTTTGCCTCGTCCAGATCTTCCGAGTCAAGGGGTTGAACAGTTTCAGCCTTTGGATCCAGCACCCCCAACGAAAAACCACAAGCAACAGTGGAAAAGATTGAAAGTCTAGTTTCGGACAAGTCAACGTCTTCAAGTTTTGGGACCTTGACTAAAAAGGGACCAAACCGGACCAAAAGATGACTCTAGTTGTGAGCGGGACACCTACAAGTGTTCACATGAGAACGCAAGCGTCGCTGCCTGCTTGAGCTGCTTCGCACACATGTTGGGCAAAGTTGTAGCAATCTCAAGGGCCTTGCGATCTCATAGGTTGCAATATCTTTAAAGCTACCCTTTTAGGAGTCAGAAATAGCAAAAGAAACCCCCTTTAACAATCCTCCAGGTTGATTGATCCAGGGTCGACATGAACATGTTTCTGCTGAAGCCGTGAAATTTGCGTTGAGAACTCAGGCTGCAAGTGTGCAGAAGGTCGCGGATGGCTTCGTCACCAAACAACAAGTGTATGAAACTATGTACAGAAAGTCAATACAGCTCAGTCACTAGTTTCAGAATGCAATGCGCAGCGGATGCACGCCACTTCTGCTTGTGAATCTGATCAAATTGCCAAGGATGAAGGCACGGGTTTTAGTTTTGCTGGTTTGGGGTTCCTGTTGGCTACATGTTGCCTTGGTTTTTGTCTTGGTTCCAGGATACTTTTTCCCTTAAGTTTGGGCCTGATTTGTGGGTTGCTGCAAAGCGATCAATGCAAACGCCAGCCCACAACGCCACGCGATCTGGTGCTTAGCAAGTGGTCAGCAAGCCTGGCTCTACCCTGAACGGAGGCTTACAACCGTGGCTTTTGCGGGTTATCTCACTTCCCAACCACTTCCCCGAAGTACCCCGCCTCCATCGCCCCAATTTAAGCACCCCCCCACTTCCCCCAAGTACCCCGCCTCAATCGCCCCTAGACCCCCCCAAAACCGGTCACATCCCTTCGGACCAGAAGCCCCGGAAACCCCCCGCCAAGCGGTGGAAACCGCCTGCTTCGCCAGCAGGGAGTCCAGCAGGGCCTGCCGCAGCTCCTCGCGAGGCACGTGGCTCGGAGCGCGCCGGGGGGGGGGGCCATCAATCCATGTCGGGCCCCGGGAAGCCCCCGGGCTTTGACCAGGGGTCACCTTTTCCCCAGTCGAATCCATGTTTGATGGTTTGGTTTTTTGGGGGTCACCCAAGGTAAAGGACCAATTTGATCAACCTGCGTGATCAACTCCTAGGTCTGTTTTGGAGTACTGGGGTGTTAAATTCCCAAGCTGGTAAGTTCTTGGTAACCCTTCGGAGAAAACCCACGTAGCAGTCCCCCGTTCAGTGTGGTGAACCTTGCTAGTAGGGGGTGAACAACTCCAAGTGGCAATCCCAAGAACTATCTTGGCCAAACATCCAAGTACCCTTTTTGGAAACGGGAAACCATTCTTTAATACGCTTCGGGAACCCAAAGGGAAAACCATTTTGGGGAAACTGGCTGTCCAAAAAACGTGCCTGTTGGGAGAACTCTTCCCTGCCCTCCATTTGCTGAAGGCCCCTGGGAACAAAACACATTTTGCAGTCACAGATTTCCTTGAAACCAGGCTGGGAAAAGAACAGCCTACTGTTCATCAAATGGAAGTTGAGTGTCCGGTGTCTCGACCAAACCCTTGAGCTCCCATCTGCACAGCGCGGCTGAAAGGCCGTTGCACTTAGTGGTTACGCCTGGCTATAACTCGCAAAAGCAAAGGTTATAGGTCTGCTGAGAGGGGTATAAGTTAGAACCAAACGCACTAACCACTTACCAAGTACCCCGCCCCTTTAACACCCAAATCAGCCAGCCATCGTGGCCAAAACCAATTGAAATCCTGTGCCATGAGAGTTTCCTAGGAGTCATGCTGCGGATGGTTGCGAAATCCGCCTCTCGCACCACCGTTCAGAAACCCACATTTTTAAAGGTTTCCAAATAATTACCGGGTTCTTCACAAGATGCCAGGAAGAACCTGCCTTTTATCTGCAAAACCTGGGTTTTCCTGTCAAACCCTTTATTTTGCTGCTGCAAAGGCCTACTTGCTCAGAGGACCTGAAAGGATGACGACCGGAGCAGCACGGTAAAACAAAAGCCACAAAAGGCAGATAGAACCAGAAAACCCTCATATAGCCACATGTCTCAACGACCATGGACCGTCAGCCGTGCGCTCTTTTTGCTCCATGGCAATGATCTGCGTGGCAGCCCAGTCCTGCTCGCGCGACAGCTTTGAACTGCATTGGATCTTGGTGGAGCTTGGCTATTCAGCGCAGCTGTTTTTGGCTCGCAAGTTTTGGCTAAGATGGTTCGCCCAAAAGAAGAACGGCAACCACCTCTTGACCTTAGCGACCTGTCGAACACTTGGGATGAAAATGAATGGATCCGGGGACGGCTTCGTGACGGCAAGTTCCTGGTTCATGAGCTCACGGCTTCGCAGTGCAACATCCGCACAGCTGTGTTGAACCGAGGGGTGCTCACTCCGCTTTTGGAAAAGATGGCCGATCGTTGCCACAAACTTCCAGAAGTTGAGGGCTTACGGGATGCAATCAAGGAGTTGTACGAGAAGAATTGTAAGACTAGCAGCCTCACCGACATTGACACCTGCACCATGAGCTGGCAAATTCGTAAGCACTTGGGCTTCATCAAGCGCAAAGCCCACCGCAAAGAGATTTCGAAGGAGTGAGGGGGGTTATGTTTACCCTTGAAAAAGGGGCCAGTGATAGAAAGCTGCCCTGCCACCCCAACGCATGCGCTGCGCCAGGACAAGAAGTTTCAGAACCTTTGCATCATCCTGGACTTGTCTCTCACGGACTGGGCTCATGTGTTTTGCTCATGCCTTGTTTGTGAGGCTGACCTGAGTAGCAGCACGCAGCAAAGATGAAACTGACAGCATGTTCCAAAAGTGTTTGCAATTAAGTGGCAATTGCTTCACGCAGGAGATTGCTGACCAACTGAATGATGAAGAAAGTGGTGTTGAGGTGGAGGTGGGGCGCGTTCGCAGCATGACAAAATTGAAATAAAATAAAGCGTGCGGCATATTAGCGTTGAATTTACACCGGGAAGCTTCGATGGGCAGAACCAGACTTGCTATGTAGCGGCCGTCTGTGCAGGCAGCGGATGAGGATGCTTACGAAGAGACTGATGAGGAGGCCGTGCCCACCGAGGCTCAGAAGGCCATCACCCCCCCCGCAGTCCTGGAAAACAAAGAAGAGCCTGAAGAGAAGCCTGCTTTGCACCTGGCTGTGGCCACCCCTCAGAGCTCCCAACGGTTGCCTTTGGTAGCAACTTCTTGTTCTCCTTCTCCTACAACAGAAGCCCCTGTCCCTTCGCCTGTTTCCCCTTGCAACTTTGGTGGCAAGACATGATAGCCAATTGAGAGCTATGTTTTTTTCTTCGTCACCCGCTTTTGCATTGCAGACTTCAGATCGACCCTAGGCACTTCAGCTTCCCCTGAAGCGGCCAAATTGCAATCCGAGCTGGACCTTGCCCGTCACAAGCTGAAACAGCGAGATCCTCAGGGGTCATGATGTTCATGATTCATTATTGTGTCAACGTTAGGCTGATGGGTTTCCACAAACTTTGCCAACCCAGGCTTCGTGAGAAGAAAGCTGCTGCACAGAGTGCAGACCAACCCCCTGCAGGACCAACGGTCTTGCAACAGCAGATTTTGCCCCTTGTTTATGTTATGATTGGACGTGCTCAATCATTAATGAAATTGCTTTATAGGAGCGGGGTCTTCCACCAATATGGACACGATGGAAACGCAGTGCGTGAACATCATGCAGGCACAGGCCCCTTCTCCAACGCGGAAGGTCATTGTTTCCTGCAATGCTTCCCCAACCGCAAGTGAGAAGAGGGAAATCTACCAAGGTTCCCGATTCAAAGGGGTGCCGTTGGAAAGTGTCAAGAAAACTGAGCCTTGCGACCGAGCTGACCAAGCCTCCCCGCCACCGGCTGTTGCAGCTGTGGGCACTGAGCCTGGCCGCGAAAACGCGGCTGCTGAGAATAAAGCGGTTGCAGACAAGGCAGCTTGCTCGTGAAATTAATCCAACCCTCCTTGCAAGTTAAACCGTTTCAGTTGTTTGCCTATATTTTGCATTCTACTCCCTACCACACCTGCACCGCTTACCCGAACAGGTGCTCCTGAAGACTGACCAGCTGCAGATGCGAGCGTCGGGCAAGCGCTCTGGCAAGAGAACCCGTTCAGCGAGCGCTCAGAAGAACAAGACCAACGGCAAAAAGCAGAACAACAAGCGGGTAAAGAATAAGAAGAGTTTGGTCGATGAACTTGACGAGGGCGAGAACAACTACGACGAGAACATGGACTATGGCACGGAGGGCGAGAACAACTACGACGAGAACATGGACTATGGCACGGGCTTGGAGGCGACCAAGCGAGCGCACAAAAAGCGCGCGAAGAGTGCGGATGGCGTTGGCCTCAAGCGCAAGAAGGTCCCCAAGGGCCAGGTCAAGAGTGCGGATGGCGTTGGCCTCAAGCGCAAGAAGGTCCCCAAGCGCCAGAGTGCGGATGGCGTTGGCCTCAAGCGCAAGAAGGTCCCCAAGCGGCAGGTCAAGAGTGCGGATAGCGTTGGCCTCAAGCGCAAGAAGGTCCCCAAGCGCCAGAGTGCGGATGGCGTTGGCCTCAAGCGCAAGAAGGTCCCCAAGGGGCGCAAGCTTCTGAAGGCAGCGTCCCAGGTTAAGGAGAGCGCTGCGTTTGGCCCGTGGACGAACGCGGACGAGGAGTACGTGAAGTCTGAGCTGCTGGCCTACGCCCAGGACATCAACCTGAAGCTCAACATGAAGAAGTTCAAGCTGCACATCAAGAAGACCTGCTCTGTCGCTGTGCCGTTCGCGTGCAACATCTACTGGACCCGTCGGGGCTGTGGGCTGAAGTCGAGGGCCTTGCAAAAGGACATTGCGCACTTTTCCTTCCAGTCGGTCGGCCTTCACAAGTACCACGCGCTGGCTTTGGCCGTCAAGTGCGCGTGTACACTTGTGCCGCGGCAAGCGATATGGCACTCTTATAAAAGAACCAAACGGTTTCATTAGTTCCCTTTTCCACATTTTGGTTTCCAAATCAAAAGGGGTTTCTCGCCTTTTTGTGCCCACCTGCCCAGTCGCACATCATGATGGAGGAGAAGATGACACAGCAGAAGCCGCCCAAGGGCTACGTCCAGTTTCTGAAAAAGTGTGGGAGCTTGACATCCAAGAGCTTGCCGGAGACCGTGCCTGACGTGGATTAGAAATTCCAATCGTCGGCCTACATGGGGTTTTTGAATCATGGCGTTTTGCGGGGAGCCTCAACCAATGGTTTTAGCATGAACGTCTCCCACCTCCACCGTTTCTTGATGGCTTTGTCCCAGCCCCGTGAGACGCTTGATTCGCTGAATGGTGATCAAACTGTGAGGCTTAGAAGCTGCAACACGGTTTGAATTAAGTGATCTTTCTGACGTTCAGTACATTGAAACATGTCCGCCTGGGAAGGCATGCGTCCGTGACACAAAAATGTTGGCGCCGAAAAAGAACGTAAGTTGTGATTGGCAATCATATCAGCAGAATCTAGTCGACCCTGATCAAGCGTCACTGTCGCCACCCCGCCTGCGGCCCGAGGTCTGCATGCCTTCACGCTGAGGAAATCTTTGGCAAGTCCGCCTCGGCGTGGCGAAGAACAAGCGTGAGCCTGACATGCTTATCAATTGAGCCCTTGAAATCTTTGATCGTGCTTTGCTTTATTGTGCACAGCCGGCGCCCCAATCAGAATCTTGATGAAGAGATTTGTAAGAACAAGTTTTCATTAGTTTTCCGTCGAACACTGTGCACCAGCGCTGCCGCGCCAGCCATTTATGCTTGAAGGTCTCGGCTTGCTCACGCATGATGAAAGGGCTTGATCACGTCATGTGGTCCCTGAAGACAATTGGGGCACCAAGGGTTCCACACTTAGTTGCAGCTTTGCGCATTTATGTTCCCAATCCATGAGCAGCGTCGCTCGTAAGGACCTAGCGCTTCTAGTGGCTTTGATCTGGTTCGCCGAGGGCT